TTCCCTATGCCTTTTCTATTAAATACTTTCATGGTAATTTTTCTTACGAATCTTCGTCTATGGTACCTAGATATTATGAATTTAAGCGCAGTACCAGATTGGCAGCTAGGTCTCATCCTTTTTCAGTGAAATGTCTAGATGTAACCGTAAGTTCTATGACAATAGTTTCTTCTCTTAGACTTCTCGAATGTGACACGCTCCTCCGGCTTCTTGCTTCCCAGTCAGCTTTGATATTCAAAAATATATATGTAATCTTAGTGGCTTTATTGCCTTTCTTAGGATGAAATGAAAAAAATATATGTATTTATTGCCGTTTTCTCTTTATTTGCAAGAAATTGACTATTCTATGATGGATCAATATGTCCCCTTTTATGCTATGATAGGTCACTAATCAAAATTGTGCCCGCTATTCTGGCAGTGCTCTATGATTGGCGCTCTTAGCTATACACACCTACGCTTCGTAAGATGTGCCTTTGGCGTTACTAACAAACGTGTTTGCATTGTAAACAATGCTGATCATGTAAATGTAGCCGATCATCAGAGAAAGGTCGGCTGTAAATAATCGAGACTGTTACCTCAGAGTTGACCGTTTCTCGTCCATTTTCTTCCATTACAAGTTAGAATAAGAATAAGAACCAAGAAAATACATTCGACACTAGACACTTAAAGTTGCGATAAATTATTCCTATGAAGCGTGCCCGGGCAAGATGTTATTCCAACGAGTCTTTTTCTTCTATGTGCCATGGTGATAATGGATCTCCACAACTTCCTATCTTTTGTATATCTTCTTTTTTTTTCAATCATTTCACCCCAAACAAGGTGGGAATACCACTAGTACGCAGGGGGTCACAGGGAATTAAAGTGAAACATAAGACTGCGAATAGGGAGGATTGAGGAAAAAGGAAAAGATAAACGGTGTCTAAGAAGATAAAAGAGGGTGTTTGATGTTGCATTTAAATTTTTGAGGGGTTTATTTATCAGGGGAGCAAGTAAACGGAAGGGAGTTCCATAAGCAGGAAGTGCGAGAAAAGAAACTATTGGTGCAGAAGTGACATTTAAATTTAGCTATTTCAACAGTAAACGGGTGGGACCTAATTGCCAATCTAGTAGCACGTTTTAAATCATGTAGTCAGTGAAACAGAGAAAAAATCTCATCAGAGCAATTGCCAAGAAAATATTTGTAGAAAAGACAGAGGGAAGCCACGGCACGTCGGTGAGAATGTGACTGAAGTCGAGATTCCAATTCTGATCGATTGCATTACAGATCCTTCTTTGAATTTTGTCAAGAAGCTCCGGACTAGATATGGCAGAAGTATTCAATTCACGGGTAAATAGTAGATTTGTAAATGTGTAAAATAGACTCTGACAAGAAAAGTTTTGGGACACGACAGTTGTCTCTTCACCAGGCTTCCTACCACCTATTCTGCTCTCTGCTTGCACAAGCTCATTAGATAGGTTACTCATTGCTTTCATCTGTCTATCTTATTTTCAATATACCCTGTGAGTGACATATTCTCCAAGTCTTCCTTCCTCATTATGTGCCGGCGAGATTTCAACTATCGCTTTCTGATTCTAAGTTTAAGCGTTATTTCTGCTTCCATTTTCCTTTACTCACGCATTCAGTCAGTGAGATACTCAGCATTTTTCTGTAGAACAATATTTCTTTTGCTTCAAGTCTCTTCTTCATCTGTGAGGAGATTGTCCAGCATTCACTGCCATATAGGAGGACTGATATTACGTAACAGTTCAGTACTCTTTTCTCTGTTTCTGTTGCTTCAAGTCTCTTCATCATCTGTGAGGAGATTGTCCAGCATTCACTGCCATATAGGAGGACTGACTGTAAGAGTTCATATTAGTCTCTTCTTCATCTGTGAGAGATTGTCAGCATTCAATGCCATATGGGAGGACTGATTTCTAACAGTTCAGTACTCTTTTCTTTGTTTCTGTTGCTTCAAGTCTCTTCATCATCTGTGAGGAGATTGTCCAGCATTCACTGCCATATAGGAGGACTGATATTACGATACTCTTTTTTTTGTTTCTTTTTGCTTCAAGTCTCTTCTTCATCTGTGAGGAGATTGTCCAGCATTCACTGCCATATAGGAGGACTGATATTACGTAACAGTTCAGTACACTTTTCTTTGTTTCTTTTGCTTCAAGTCTCTTCTTCATCTGTGAGGAGATTGTCCAGCATTCAATGCCATATAGGAGGACTGATATTACGTAACAGTTCAGTACTCTTTTCTTTGTTTCTGTTGCTTCAAGTCTCTTCATCATCTGTGAGGAGATTGTCCAGCATTCACTGCCATATAGGAGGACTGATTACGTAACAGTTCAGTACACTTTTCTTTGTTTCTTTTTGCTTCAAATCTCTTCTTCAGGAGATTGTCAGCATTCAATGCCATATAGGAGGACTGATATTACGTAACAGTTCAGTACTCTCTTTTCTTTGTTTCTGTTGCTTCAAGTCTCTTCATCATCTGTGAGGAGATTGTCCAGCATTCACTGCCATATAGGAGGACTGATATTACGTAACAGTTCAGTACTCTTTTCTTTGTTTCTTTTGCTTCAAGTCTCTTCTTCATCTGTGAGGAGATTGTCCAGCATTCACTGCCATATAGGAGGACTGATATTACGTAACAGTTCAGTACTCTTTTCTTTGTTTCTGTTGCTTCAAGTCTCTTCATCATCTGTTAGGAGATTGTCCAGCATTCACTGCCATATAGGAGGACTGATATTACGTAACAGTTCAGTACTCTTTTCTTTGTTTCTGTTGCTTCAAGTCTCTTCATCATCTGTGAGGAGATTGTCCAGCATTCACTGCCATATAGGAGGACTGATATTACGTAACAGTTCACGCGAGAGACACCGTGACTTGAAAGACTACTGGGCTTCAAACTTGGACCTGGCCTCAAGTGGAACTCGTACATATAATCCGTTGCTAAGGATGCAGCTAAAATGGTTGACTCTCTGTGCCGCTCCAGTAAGTACCTGACTCCTCTTGCTGCTATCCTCTACTTATGACCAGATCAGGCCAGAAATGGTGTACTGTTGTCATATTTGGACTGGAGCTGTTCAGAACTCACTCTCCAGCCTTGATAGAGTTCAAACGCATCCCCGAGCCCTTGTGGGTGACGAATTATTCCCAACCCTTTAACTTCTCTCCCACAGGCGCAATGTCGCAAGCCTGTCGCTGTCTTACAGCTATTTCCACGGAAAGTGCTTGGAGAGACTACATTCCCTGGTCCCACACAGGCAAACCTTGAAGGCCAGAATACGCCATGCCACTTACATAGTAGCAAATTACTCATATTTCCTCCATATTCCATCGGTGAGAATGTTCCACTCGAGTAGCATCTTCTCACTAACCACTGTCAAGTGTAGTTACATTCAATTATCGGCGATAGGACCCCGAACTACCACCATTCAGGATGAACTGGTGTGCCCCCGGCAGAGACACCGTGACTTGAAAGACTACTGGGCTTCAAACTTGGACCAGGCCTCAAGTGGAACTCGTACATACGATCCGTTGCTAAGGATGCAGCTAAAATGGTCGGCTCTCTGTACCACTCCAGTAAGTACCTGACTCCTCCTACTATCCTCTATATTTACAAGAGCCAGATCAGACCAAATATGGTGTAATCTTATCATATTTAGGAGGGAGCTGACCAGACCTAACTCTAAAGCCTTGATAGAGTCCAGTAAGAGCCTCCGAGTGGGTAACGAATTATTTTCCACCCTCCAACCTCTCTCTCATAGGCAGGATGTGGCAAGCCTCTCACTGCTTTATTGCTACTTTCTCGGATAAACTATATTCACTGCCCCCCCCTTCGAGGCAATCCTTCACGGACCAGCCATGCCACTTCCAAAGTAGCAAACCATCCACATTCCCTCCGTATTCCATCAGTGAAAAGTAAGTTCCACTCTAACAGCTTCTTCCCAAAAACCACTGCTCTATGGAACCAACTCCCAAGAGGATGCTTTTCCGATCCCTACAATCTTAATCTATTCAAGGCTAAGGTTAACCGTTATCTTCCATAGTAGCAAACCACACACATTCCCTCCGTATTCCATCGATGAGAAGTAAGTTCCGCTCTAACAGCCTCTTCCCGAAAACCACTGCTTTATGGAACCGACTCCCAAGAGGATGCTTTCCCGATCACTACAATCTTAATCTATTCAAGGCTAAGGTTAACCGTTATCTTCCCCTCCAAACTGCAAAAATTGCAAAAATAATATAACCCTCTACCTCTAGTAGCCTTATACAATGTGAACCTCTCTGTAAAAAAAAAAAAATAAACATTTTTACATATTAAAACTTTCGTCTCGTATTTGTATCAGACGTTCCTGACATAACATTTGACGGAAATTTTTTGTGTAAGACATTTGTCAAGCCCAGATTTGATTCAACCTGTTGTAACTTAATGCCAAAAAAAAAAAAAAAAAAAAAAAAACAGAAAATCTATTGACGAGAAAAAATTGACATAAGAGGAAGGTGGTGCGCCAATGTTTCAAATAGAGGCGAGGGTTTCTGGCTTTTATTACCCATGGCCGATCATGTAAACACCTGGGAAATAAGCTGGTACGTCATAAAATAGGTAAGTTCTTGTGAATAAAGAGAAGAAAAAAACGGCAATGAATACATGTTTTTTTTCACCCTAAGCAAGGCAATAAAGCCATTAAGACGCAAGGAGTTACTGAGCCTTAGAGACAAATGAGAAAATACTATATAGAGAACAATAAAAGTACAAGAATTAAGAAAACGGAAGATAACGATTGACATTACAAATACATTATTGAAGATAAAAGTTGACTGGGAAGCAAGAAGCCGGAAGAGAGTTCCAGAAGCGAGAAGTGTGATAATATATTACTTACGGTTACATCTAGCGATTTCAACGAATGAGACATTAAATGAACCAATCCAGTACTGCACTTAATTCATAAAGGCTAGGTACCATATAAAAAATTCCTCAAAACAATAACTATATTCATAGAAAAGACACGGGAAAGCAACATAGATAGATACTGAGCAGAGCAAGATAGATAGATAGATAGATAGATAGATAGATAGATAGATAGATAGATAGATAGATAGATAGATATGAACTTTGACGTGAAAAAAGAAAAGATTATTTTTACCATAATTTTTAGAGTTCCATAAAGAATAAACCAATAGTATTTACATCGCAAAATATCTTTAAGCTTTTACGATACAATTTTATTTTTAGGTCTTGGAAATGTTTTCATCATGTTTCCTTCTTTTTTAGAGAATTTTTAAAGGTACTTATGCAAATCTCGTCTAATTGTTCTCAGATGTTTATTATTAAATTATAAAAAAAAGAATTAAATTAACGACAGATTAGATAGATAGATATGAACAGATAGATAGATAGATAGATAGATAGATAGATAGATAGATAGATAGATAGATAGATATGAACAGAGATTAGATAGATAGATAGATAGATAGATAGATAGATATGAACAGAGATAGATAGATCATATATATATATATATATATATATATATATATATATATATATATATATATATATATTATGAACACAAGAGGGAGATTTTACAAAACAATACATAAAATGAGTTGATTGCCAACCGTAAGGACTGACCACAATTTTAACATAAAAATGCTACTCTAATCAAAGTTGCAAATAATTCACTACGATGTAAATGTCTAGAGAGTGCCTACAGGTCATCTACAGTAAATTTGCACCCTGGCTTTTACCATTTCACCATTCCTGGCAGAACAATAACAAAAGATAAAAACAATAAGACAGAGCAATGAAATCGGCGAGGCAAAAAAAAAAAAAACTTTTAGAAATTAAAATCCCATCACCCCCCCCCGTCCGTGCGCATATATAGTCTCAAGAAAACTTTTCCATTTTATATATATATATCATAATACAATATGATAAACTATATGGCATTTCCAGGAGGATATAGTTCCAGGGAGAGCTCTATGTCAAAAGAAAGAGCAAAATTGTTATTAATCAAAGAATATCAAACACTTAAAATCCCATAGGTAATAATTTTTATTTCATGAGGTCTCTAAAAAAGCAGCCCTCAATCATCAAGAAACAAAATTACAAAATCTTGTGAATTTATATATATATATATATATATATATATATATATATATATATATATAATTATTTATTTAAAAATATGATTCCAACGCTACATAAGAGTTCTCATGTTTCAAAACAAGAGCCGAAAACTTCAATATAATTATTTGAATTAAATTGAATTAAAGTACTAAGCTCTGTTCCATCTTCTCCATCTTCAAGAGTACTTTAATTCAATTTAACTCAAATAATTATATTGAAGTTTTCGGCTCTTGTTTTGAAACATGAGAACTCTTATGTAGCGTGTTGGAATCATATTTTTAAATAAATAATTATATTTATGCTCTACTTTTCCATCGAGCACTATTTTTTTTTTAAATAATAACAAAGATACTAGAACTTTGGATTATTTATCTAACATGTTGTTTCCTATTTTCTATATATTTTTACACACACACACACACACACACACACATACATATATATATATATATATATATATATATAAAACAAATGGAGAAAAGTTTAGAATGATACAGAGGATATAAAAAGATAATTTTGGATAAGGATTTTTGTTTGTTTTTTTCCGTATTTTTTCTTCATACTGTCGGATCTATATCCATATATTTATATATATATATATATATATATATATATATATATATATATATATATATATATATATATGATTAATAAACAATAAAATTCAAAATTTATTTCGTCCACCGGGGTAGATTGTTTTAGTTCCACGTGCCATGCCACTTCCGGATGTCTCAGTTATTTCCAATCACCTGATGAAGGTTGGAGCGTACAACTACCGAAACGTCGTCAATATGGCACTAAGAATAACAGTGTGAATAATGCATGTAAACGATTGACAAGGTACTGCGCTTAAGTTTTTTATTCTATTTTTCGTGCGTTCGTACAACTGATTCTTTTTCTGTGTGTAAAAATTATCCAAATGTTTTATATGTCCAAGCGCTTTCGGCTATTCTATTAGTCATTATCATGAATAATTTTAACTGAATGTGTAAATTTTATATATATATATATATATATATATATATATAGTGGTGAGAATCTTTTTTTTTTCGAACATTATCAACACATTGTGCCTGTGTTCATAAATTGATGTTACAGAGAGTTTGGTTTTGTTTCTTTTTTTTATTATTAATGCTTCAATTATTTGTAGCAGTTTTTTACATGTGGAAGAACACATTATGGTCGTATTTTCCACAAGTATTTTGAGGACCGAGTTTGGTAGCTTTCTGTGGTTGTTTAAATGGGTACAAATGCAAGAAAATTGAATAAAAAACCTTAATCGCAGTATCGTGACAATCGCGTTAATGAAACATGTATAAAAGAGGGATTGATGCCAAATATACACACACGAACACATACACACACACACACACACACATATATATATATATATATATATATATATATATAAGTGAACATTGAAGTCAACACTCAGAGACAACATGCTGTTTTTCATGCTAGAGGCAATCGTCAGGCCGCCTTACGATTGCGTCTAGCATGAAACAGCATGTTGTTCTGGAGTGTTGACTTCAATGTTCACTTTTATATTTATATTTACATACGCTCTGTCTCTGATATTGAGCACTTTATCCCATAAATATAGCACACCTTAAAACTATATTTCTTCATTCATATATATATATATATATATATATATATATATATATTCGACTCTCTCGTTGTATTCGACGTATGAGGGTCAAACAACTCAGTTCCTAGGAACCGAAAGCCCGACAACAGCACATTAGATTTGATTATAGTGGTGAAGGCTTTATGCAGAACCATCCACACTTTTTGAAGGACCGAATACAGAGACCTGGTGCACTACGTGCCACAAGGTCCCCAAACGACCCTCCGCAAGTTTTGAATTCAGAGTTGTCCTTCTCTTAGACCAGTTGCCATCCAAGGCTATAGAACCCAGTCTGCCCTGCTATTTACCCATAGTTGGAGAGAGAAGACGAGGATTCATACCTTTCCCAAGTGTATTAGCACGTAAGTGAATGTAATGGATTCCAGATAGATAGATAGATAGAAGGAGGAGGAGGAGGAGGAGATAGGGGAAGAGAAAACATACGACCCATGCTTGTACCGGCATGTATATTCGTAGAACTGGGTAGACATACTTAATATATGTAAATGTTTATGAACTGAAACAGAAAAACACTCCTGCAAAATCCCAATTTTCCTTAAATGTATTTTTCTGTCCATATCTGCGCGTGTACATGCGTGTGCGTACACGCATCTATTTGTATATACACATGCTTAACTGTACACTCATATGTACATCACTCCATATATATAGGCTAAATGCTAATCCCTGATAAGCAATAAATTTCTTTCCTCTGGAAAAACTATTTTCCCCTCCTAATCCAACCCAAGCACTTAACCACAATTCTTGCGCCAGATGGCGCTATCGACCAAAAAGCGGATCTTCACCAAAATAAACCTGTCACCTTTCAGAATCATTCAAGCCAATGGCGCTAAGTGTATGCCTATTCCTTGTATCAAGATTGGTCTGATTCTTATATATTTCACAGATTTCGTTTAAACCACTCGTCAGTCGAGGAGGGGAGAAAGCCATTAATATCTACATGGACAGGTGTGTTAATGGCTAACTCCACTTATCTCGCCACGTGTGATTAGACTGATCTTTTCCTGTTTATTTATAGTGTTCAGCGGATCTGGTTAGCATAAGAATTCTCTTAAGTGTTTCTTGGCAGCCAATTGTATTCGATGCCACCGATGCGTGTTTTCAAACTATCCCCCCCACACACACCAAAATAAAATCTTCCCAGACGTTAGTTCAAATGAATCTATAATAAAAAAAAAAACAAGTTCTTTTCTATATTACAAGTCTTGATTTAGAACTAATTGCATTTTTTTTTTTTTGCTTATTTTATTCAATCCCAGCTATGGATTAAATAGTAGAACAGACTTGACTCTCTAGCCATGGTTGGTAGCCAGGCTAATAGAAGAACAACTCTAAATTAAAAAAAAACTAGGGGAAAAGTAACGGGAAATAACCCCGCAATCTTTCTTAAGACGTCATGGTAATTCACAGATGATAAAGAAAAGGAATCTGTGGAGAGCCATGACCGCCCACGCCCTAAAGGCACACGGAATTTAAGTTAAATAGCATGGAAACGGGTTCTATAGCTTTGGATGAACTCTATTCCAGGAAAAGGGTAACTCCGAATTCAAAACCATGAAGAAGGCAACTGGAAACCAATCTAATGTCATTCCCGAGAAGACATAGCAATTCATGAAGAACTAAGAAAAGAAAGCTGTGGAGAGCCATGACCGTGTACCCCCTGAATGGAAATGGTATTTAATTTTTACAAAAACGTGTTATCAATTCAGATTGGGCTCTCTAATCTGGCATGGAAGTCAGTCTAGAAGAAGGATTTGGCTCTAAAGCAGTGAAGAAGACAATGGGAAATCATTCCACCATCTTTGTCAAGGCAATTCATATGTGAAAAGACTCTGTACCCATGATCGTCTACATCCCGAAGAAAAAATGTTTCATTTAATACAATATGTGCAGGGTGATATAAATTGCCACTGAATTCGAATTCCAGTCAAGACTGAGTATGTTCAAAAACGTTGTTAGACATGTACGGTACATGCAACATCTATGGCAATGTCTGCCCCTCACACGAGATTTGCAGCAACATGAGACATTGCATAAAAGTCTGACTCACGATTATGGAAAACCAACGCTCCTCTGAGATAACGACAACGACAATATTGTATTCCTTGATATCAAACAATAATAAACATTCTATTCTATTCCTAAAAACGAACTTTACTTCGGATGGGGATTTGCAGAAGTTATCTTGCTCGTCACTGGAGATGAGACGCAAAAATAACTTCCATCCACCCCATTTCAAGTAAAATTAAATCGATCTCGAGAAAACTGGCAATAATTTTAGAAGTGAAGAGTTCTGTTAGAAAATTGTCGGCTTTATCTCGTATCCAAGAAATTAATTTCTTTGCTGAACGCTTCCTTTGTGCTAATGGCGTTGATGACTAGGTTCGCCACCAACGTTCAGATTCAAGACTAGAAGCATCCAGATTCACCAAAACCTGCTCCGGTCATCCATTTCCTATCGCCGTTTGGCTTTCCAAGAGTTGGTTGGAGGTGAAAGAAAATCAGAGTAGAAGAAAGTGCCGGATACGTGAATTTGTTTAAGGTAGACCTCAACCTACCAGGAAGTGACCCACACATGACCTTCTGAGACATGAAGAAACCAATTATGAAACTGAAACGGACTGCCGCTGTTATAATTTCAAGTGGTGCCTTCCGTAGCGTTTCTGTCATCAAATACTCATGCATACTTTATGTGCCATGTCTCCTAAGTAGACGATCACGGCTCTCCACAACGTCTTATCCCTTGTAGCGCAGAATAACCTTTTTTTCATTCTGTTATTTCTCCTAATGTTCTTTCCATAGTCTCCTCAGCATCCTTTTCTAGAACAACATTTCTGCTGCTTCTATGTCTCTTCTTCAGTTTTAAGGAGATTGTCCGGCAGTAAGTACTATGCAAGAGAACACACAGGGTGCGATGGGAAAATTGTCGCTTAAATTACGCAAAAATGAAAATAATACTGACATTTCAATTTAACAGATATATTTACCTTCAGTTCCTCTTTGATGTTACACGGAGTTTTGTTGGCCTGGCTCAACCGTGTCCCACATATAGTAACCAAGGGAGTTGCAGTTTGGGGAGTTAGGTGGCAAGATGTAAGGCGTGATGTCGTCGCAGAAATTGTCTGACAGCCATGACTGACTTCTCCTGCTTGTGTGGCATGGTGCAGAGTCCTGTTGCCAGACATAGGATCTTAAAGCAGCTACCCTCTTGACCCAGAGCATCACTACCTCCTCAAGGCACTTGATGTAAGCCTCCGTGTTGTGTCTGAGGCCCTCGCTAACAACTTCGGTAATTCTTTTCTCATCAGAACGATTAGAGTGAGTTTTTTCGAGCTGTCGTGTCTTCGTAATCACCATTAGACTTATCGAACTCTTCCCGAATCCTCTGCACTGTCCTCAGATTGACACCCAAACACTCTGAAATGTTCGAATCGGAGCCAAATTACCCATAATAAATTGATAAATTGTCGTCTAAATTAGGCAAAAATGAAAATACCACTGACGCAGGATCTTTCAGCAGCCACCCTCTTGACCGAGGACAGCATTACCTCCTCCAAGCACTTGATGTAGGCCTCCATGTTGAGTCTGAGGCTATATATAATGGTGACAATTTACCCATCACACCCTGTATGTAAAAGTGTTATCCATAAACACCGACTACGGTTGGAATTGTATCTGGTAAGACTTTATGGTGCTCGAAGACATTCTATGGAGAAATTAAAACCATAAAAAGTTCAAACGTCACAAATATTCCTTAACGGCATCTTTCTATATCGCTGAATTGAGGTATTATGATTACTTGTATTATTGGGATTCTTATCCTCATTGTCACAACGTTTCCTCAGGTTAATGGAATTTCAAACCGACCTCTTTATTTCATCCACCGAGGTAGACGGTTCTAGTTCCACATGCCATGCCTCTTCCGGATGTCTTGGTTATTTCCCTTTAACTAAACTCTCCAAGTTTTTTTTGGTTCTGCTGTAGCCTGGTATTGAACCCAGAACTCTTTGGGTCTAGTCACTGGATCTAACCAACGTCTTTATCCACTGGGCCATGTGCCATTGAGGAGTTGAAGGGAAATAATTGCGATATCCGGAACAAACATGCTTTATAACTATTGTACAGTCTGGAGCAATGTTTCGCAACCATTGCGCCTTGAAAGTACACAGAAGAGAATAATTATGAATTTATATTTTTAAAATGTTTTTTTTTAAAGAAAGCTATCGATATCAAGCACATGGCTTCCATGTATAAGTCAAATCTTTATCATTTGGTATTTGAAACTGGAAGCTAAATTGCGTAATCTTTAAGGAGTGGATAATCCTTTACCTTTTGCCTTTCTCAAGTGATTTAAAATAGTCAATGTCGGCGTCTCTAAAGAATAAATAACAGATTCTTCCAGAATCCGTTTAAAGAAAACTGTAGCGCTAATCTTCTTTGGGAATCAGTCAGTTAAGTGCCATATGTAATACACGCTTGAGCGATCATGTCTCTCTACAACTTTCTCACCTAAATAACTGTTGACTCTTTCAATTAAATGCCATACGTGTTACACGCTTGAGAGATTATGCCTCTTTCGATTCATGACTGACTAGACAGAAGATTTTCTCGCAGTAAGCTGCCATTTCTTTCTTCGGTAGTGGAGAAATTTCTCTTTCCGACTCGTTATCCATTACATCACAATGCATATTCTTTGGGAAGATGAAGCCAAAAAGCCATTAAAAGCAATTTTCTTCTTAGCCAAAGCACATCAACCACAGGTTTGACACAAGCAGATTTCAATATACAGGATGCGATAGACCAATTGCCGCCATTTTATGTTTAATTTCGCTCATGCGCGTTGTTTGTTTTTGATTTTATCGACTGCACTGTATAGTAGGGTCAGTTTTTATGAGAAAAAGAGCACCAGACATTTGGAAAGAGCATGCTGTGGTCCTTGGCATTCACGCCGGAAGTTCCAATACGACCATTTCAGAATGTTTGGGTGTCAATACGAGGACAGTGTAGATGATTCAGAAAGAGTTGGACGAGTTTCATGGTGATTACGAAGGTGCGGCAGCTGGGAAAACTCACTCTGATCGTTCTGATAGGAAAAGAACTCCGGCGCTCGTTGAGGGACTCAAAGGGAGGACATGACTTCCCTGGATCACGAGGGTGGCTGCTGGAAGTTCCTATGTCTGGCAAGAGGACTCTGCACCATGTCACACAAACAGGAGAATAAAGTCATGACTGTCAGATAATTTTTGTGACCACATCCTCCCTTACATCTAGTCACCTAACTTCCCAGATTGCAACCCTCTTGATTATTATGTTTTGGGTGCAGTTGAGCGAGAGACTAATAAAACTCCTTGTAAGATGAAAGATGAACTGAAGGCAATGATTATGGCAGCATTCACTAACTTAAACAAGGAAACCGTCTAG